GACGATGACGATGAAGATGACGTCAGTATATTTGTTTCCTAGCGAGAGAACAGCCGTCATATCATTCCTTGATAACGTGCAAGAGATACCCAATGTCTCTTACAGGTTTTTTTGTATATCATAATTTCACAATTTATTGTTTGTTGTAATATATTTTTATTTTATTATTATTATTATTATTATGACGTCACAACAACCCAATAGCTACAACAGCTTCTCCGACCTTGACCTCAAACTCTTCTCGATGACCCTGCACAACGTAAAATATCAGAAGACAACAAAGACAATAAAAAACGACTCTCTATTTCCGTTCACAGCGTCAGCAGCAACGCCATCCTCATTGTTACCAACGACAGCAAATACATCGCCATCGCTATCGTCATCATCCCAGTTTATGACGTCATCGTCAACGTCAACGTCATCGGCGGCAAGGTCGCAGGTTTTTGTTGTTAGAACGCTGCAGGAGATAAAATCTGGTAACGCCGTTGTGGCTGAGCTGCTTAAAGGCAAAAACACTGAAGAAATTTTTGCCAGGTACACACACCCACATATACACTCGCGCATACACACACACGCATACACACACACGCATACACACACACACTCACGCATACACACACACGCACACATACGCAGATGTTTATTGTGGGTAACATATAGCATCTGGTTCACGCTACTGCCGGCGTTCATTAGAACGAGTACAGCTAAGAAGTTGCTACTGTCGATAGCTCACAAATCCATGGTTGATTTTTTGAAGAGGGGTGGAAGGCCCCTTGATGAGGTAGTTTGTTTACGGGGGGTGGGGAAATTATTATTATTATTATTATTGTTACTATTTTTTATGGTTTTTTTTATATTTCGCTCGTAGCTTCCGTACAAAATATTCTTCCAACTGTGCGGTATATACAACGAGCCTCGCTATGCAAATGACGTTTACAACCAGATGATAAGTTGCAACATAAGACTTGATGTTGCCACCTACGGCTACTACAACTCCGTTAGTGGTGTCGTGTAGTCGTCGTCGTCGTCTTTGTTGTCGTCGTCATCATCACCCTAGCCACCATCATCGCGATCAACATCGTCATCGTTATCGTCATCACTACCACCAGGCCATCCTCAAACAAGAGAAGTTGAAGACTAATAAGGCGTGGGACAGATGGATGAGAATCTCTCTCCTCATCCAATCCATCTTCACGTTCAAGCACACCAAAAGTAGCCTTGTTGTTCTTCTTTGACCTGCTGTTATTCATTCTCACCGCCATTTCAAATCATTTCAAATTTAATGAACGAACGACACCGATATGAACTTCAGACAGGATCAAAATTAAATTAAAAATTACGAAAAATAAATTTTCCCATCGCAGACCCAGTGAAAAGAAGCGCAAAACGCAACGCGCCTAGCGTCAAAAGCAGCAACAGAAGTCTAGACGTTCTCGAGCCACCTTCGAACGCGTTGAACGACTTTTTAAATATTTTTAACCGTTCGTCCATTCGTTCGTCTAATCGTTCGTTCACTCGTTCGTCCGTCCGCAGTTCTTTTCGCCCTGGCGTCAGTAATAGTAATAATAACAAGCCTGCAGCTACTACAGCCGCTTCATCGACTCTGAAATATGATCTGAAATGTAATGATGTCGTAGATGGAGTTGTGGTTGATGGGGGCAAACATTCGGTCAAGAACAACAATTTGATGTTAGTTATCTGTTGTTGCTGCTGCTGATGTTGTTGTTGTTTGTAAGGTGCAGTGGCTGTAGGTTTTGTTGTTCTTGGTGTTGATTGCATCGTGTCATTGGTGGCTCTGGTGGTAGTTGCATCAGTGGCAGCTTACTTGAAGTTTTGTTGGAAGTTATCACAAATAACAATGTTCATCTTTGTAACGTGACATTGGTTTTTACATTTCTCGTTATTGTTATGAAAGTATCGTGTTTACATTTTGTTAACATGTTAACACATACTTAACAGTTTCGATGTTATTTATCATTAATTTTTCTAAATTGGATGATGATTTTGAAGGAATGAAGTGACGAGGAACTCAGATCGGACTCACCTCACTCAAAATTCAACAACTTCGACGACAACTGCAAGCAACGGCAGTGTAATGTACCAGAGTTGTGTGGAGTTGAAGTCAAATGTTGACGGCATGGAATGCAACAACTCGAGCAACAAAATGGTCGCATCTGCAACATCAACGCCTCTGAAGACCAACGAATTACGACAAAAATCCGCAAAATCGAACAGCTTCCAACAGACAGATGATGAAGAGGTTGCAGTTGTTAGATCGGGCATTCCGAGCTCTGACTCACTTTCAAACATCTTGCAGATGACAAAGCAGCAGTTTTCAACCGTTTACCAGGCTTTGCAGACCAAATTCAACAACAACAACTCGCCAACAAAGTCGCAGATGGAAGTTGTGCTAAAAAATGACGCAAGCGACTGCGTCAACGATGCCGTCAAATCGTGCATCACCACGTCAACGCTCGACTCCGACACTAGTTTTATGTCATCCGCCTCATCCTCGCTCTCCAACATACAACACGCTTCAAACAATTCACAACAACAACAACAGCAACAATCATCAACAACAACAACAACCAACATCAACTTTTCATCATTGGACAACGTCGATGCAGTAACAAGCAGCAGCAGCAGTACCAACAGTTTAGACGCTAGTCATTTCAACATCTTCGGTTGCCTCGTGGACAGGCTGAGGAACTTCTCAGCAAGCCTACCTCATATCTCGGTGGATATCACCTCCCAGATGAAGTGTAACAACTGCAACAACTTGTTGCACGACGAGCAGATTGTTGCTGGCTGGTCTCTAACTGATTCTAATCTTAATACATCGTATGTTGCTGCTACGTTTTTTTGTGCTGTTACTGTTGGTTGTTGCTGTTGTTGCTGTTGTTGTTGTTTGTATCATTTTTGTTGTTTGTTGCTATTGTTTTTTTTATTCTTACAATCCCATCTATACTGTTTGTTAGAGTTTTTAGCAGCAAACACACCGTGTACTTAAATCTAATCCATTGCACCTAATACAGTACTACGATTTGCCAGATGTCGAGCATTTTAATCATTCATTATACTGTCGTTTTAGTTATTATCATTATTAAAAGTAAAATTACCAAATGGAAAGTGAATTATCTTCCACTTTCAAATCCACTGCAGGTGCTGTTGTTGCTCCATTACATTCATTCCTGTCCTGCACGTCACTTTGCATGTATGTTGGGTGTTTTTTTTTGCCCTTTCTATTTTTTTTCTGGTTATATTTTAATTTTTAAATGTTCCTAATGCTATTTAAGTTTGTTTTTATGTTGATTTTATTTGTTTAAATTCATTTTTAATTGAATTTTTTATTTATTTTTTTAAAACTTTCTTTGTTTAAACTCATTTTCAATTGATTATACTTTGATCGATTTTTAATTAAACTTACTTGGATTCAACTTTATCTAATTCTACAAAAACGTTCATATATTTTGGATTCTATGCTATTAATTTTTCATGGTTTCTTGTTTCTTTTTCTATGGTAGACAGCCAACATTCCTACGACAGCAACTGCAACCGCAACCAACTCAGCAGCAACAACAAACACGTCAACGTCATCACTTACGTCATCGTCACTGACCAATGAAATGTAGGGTTTAAATTTTCCACTTTTATTTAACAGTTTTTATGGATAAAGTTATTTCTTTGGTCATCATCTTTTACTACCTTCGTTATCATTATCATGATTATCATTATCATGATTATCATAACGGCATCGTGGTCATCATTATCATAACCACAGATTGGACGAGTTTGAAGTGCCCCACTTGAACCCTCTCGTTCTGAGGAAAGAACTGGACAACCTTATTAAAATCAAGGGCGAAGATGCTTTAAGCTGCTACGATGACGATGACGTCACAGATGCAGCAGCTGCTGCCGCTGCTGCTATTTCCGTTTCAGCTACTGCTGATGGTGATGATGATGATAGAGGAAGAATTATTGGAAAGTATTCCATCGTTTATTGGAATTTGGTTGGTTTGTTTGTGTATCTCTTCGTATGCTATTTGCTAAATGGCTGGATGGCTGGATAGTTGGTTGGTTGGTTGGTTTGTTGGTTGGTTGGTTGGTTGGTTGATTGACTGGTTAATATTAATATTATTATTGTTGTTGTTTTTGATTGACAGCTCTGGCACCTGGGCAAGCTGGGTCTGCCCACTCACTTGAAGAGGAAATTGCACAAAATAAAAAAGGTAATTAAATGTGATGACGATGATGATGATGATAATGATGATGATGACGAAGATGATTATGACGATGATGATGATGAGGAGGAGGAGGAGGAGGACTACGAAAATGATGATAATGATGAAAAACTTTGCAGATGAATACGAAAGCGGAGCACATAATTTGCAGACCTCTTTGGGATTCAACTCATATGAACAAACTTTTCGGGGCTCCAATGTATACCCAGTGGTCACTCAATGCTGGTCAGTTTTTTATTCATTTATTCATTCATTCATTCATCCATTCACGTGTTCGTTCGTTCGCTCGATCGTTTGTTTGTTTCATTTTCAGCAAATCTTTTTTCATAATTTTTTTGTAAAGTATCTCGTCCGGAAAATTTTCAAGGCGCCTTCTACAGTAAAAGGTTATTTATTGCTTCATTTTTTGTTCATTCATTCATTCATTCCTTCATTCATTCGCTCGTTTATTTATGTATTCATTTACTCATTTATTCAATCAATCAATCATTCATTCATTCATTCATTCGATCATTCGTTAAACAGCCATCAAATTTGATAATTGCATAAATTAAATAACTGTGTATTCAATAAAAATGTGATGATCCTGTCTTTCATGTAACGCGCGCTCACACACACACACGCACGCACGCACACACACACACGCACGCGCACACACACACACACGCACGCACACACACACACACACGCACGCACACACACACACACACGCACGCACACACACAGCATTCTTCAGAGCATAATCTCTCACCTGCTTACGTCATCAATCCCTATGGACGTGGTGATAGCAGAGAGGTCAAAGTTCAGTGACCCGAACAGCAAGATATTGCATAGAGGTATGTTCTATGATATCATGTTCCTAGCTCTCCACGTTCTCGGTCCCAAAGAATTTGATTTAAGTTAGTCATGTTTTTTCATTGAGGCTGGCTGATTAGTCGGTCTGTTAGTTGTCCGATTGACTGGTTGATTGATAGATTGATTGCTTGATTGAATATTTAGTAATCTTTATACATCTTGACACCATTACTACAACATCACTCCAACCCCCCCCCCCCCCCCCCCCCCACACACACAGACACAAACACACGCGCGCGCGCGCACACTACCACACAGATAAATTCGAGAAAGATTATGCAGCTGCCTACAAGAGCTTACCTCAGAGAGAGATCAGGCGGACGATCGTCGCGGACGAGCCCTGCAAGGTCAAGGTCACGTGGTGTCGCAAGGTCTTCAGCAGGCTACAGCTGGTCAGCTACAACAACGATGGTGGCGGTTGTCGCCATGGTAACAGTAGTCATTGCTTAGCAACCGTTGCTAACGATAGTAATAACAATACTATTACTAATACTGCTGCTACTACTACTACTACTGATATTGTTGTTGCTGCTACTACTACTACTGCTACTACTACTACTACTACTACTAATAATAATAATAATAAAGATAATATTGATGAAACAATGGAAAGTATAAGTATAAAGAGTAATACTATTACTACTGCTACTACTACTACTACTACTGCTACTGCTGCTACTACTAGTACTACTACTGCTGCTACTACTAGTACTACTACTGCTACTAATAATATTAATAATAAAAGAGTTAATAATGACGCCGATGAAGATGATGATGATGATGATTTCGAGGATGGTTTTGGTGATGATGATGATGATGAGTATAGCAAGGGTTATGAGGAGTGAGAGATGGCAGATGATGATGATGACGACGATGATGATGATGAGTGTTGTTGTTATTGTTATTATTATTATAATTGTCGTTAGTGTTTTTAATACTATTGTTATTGCGAAGAAAATGCTGTCACCATAATGAGTGAATGTAATTAATTTCTGGTGTTTCAGTTCAGTAGCATCCGATCAATTAACCGATTAACTAACTAATTAATTACTTAATTAATTAGTCATTAAATAATTATATTATCACAGATATTTTGTGTCTTTTATTCGCAGAAAAGTTTTTTTGGCCCATGCTCTATATCGACCGGGCTTTTTTCTCGTTGCGATTTTTCAAATTAAACCCTTTTTAATAAGTTTCAATTCAACAATTAATATTATTTCATCTGTGTTTTGGTTTACTGATTTTATTTAAATACTTATATATATATGTGTGTGTGTGTGTGCGTGTGAGTTTGTGTGTGTATATATATCCAATGATTAGGCCTTTATTAAAACCTGTGTTTATATATATATCTATATGCATATATACGTGTATCTATAAGTATGTATGTATCTATAAATGTGTGTGTGTGTGTAGGAATATAGATATATAATATAATACATGTATTTTGTTTGCATTTTGTTTTTTGGAGTTTTTTTGAGAACTGAAAACACTTTTTTTTTCTCATGTTGATTCCGTCTGTCCGCCATTTTCATTATTTGATTTTAGTTTGTTTGCTGTTTATAAATATTATTTATTATTCATATATATATATATATATATATATATATATATATATATATATATATTGTTTATATATTATTAATTATATATATATCTATATTTATTTCAATTAGTTATGATTTTATTATAGTATAGCTTTTTTTCTCAGCATATTTGTGGTCCAGATTTTATTCTTTTATTTGCACCAGTTTTCTGTTCATCCATCCATCCATTCATCCTTTCATTCATGCGTTTTTATTCATTCATTTCTGCAGTCGTTTCCTGTTTTAATCGAGAAATTATTAACAAATAACGTTTTACTCGTGTCAAATTATAAAATAATATTAAATGTTGTTATTATTATTATTATTTGATCTTATTCAAAGCAATATAAAATTTTTGGGGATTTTTCAATAAATTTGAATTTTTTCTTTATGTTTTTTTTTGCAAATTTTTTTTCGATATGAAAGCAAAAAGATTAAAAAAGTTTAAAATTTAATATTTAGTTTATACTCATTTCCTCTCATTCTCTCTCTCTTTCTTTTTTTTTTCTCTTTCTCTCTCCCTCTCTAGTCTTCTATCTTATTACTATATATGTATGTACTTATAAGACAGCCTGTGGAACGTTGTAATATTATATATGGTATTATCTACGTACGATTGTTTGATAAATGAATAAATGGATGAATAATTGGATGAATTGATAGATGGATGGACAGGTGATCAGGTGAATGGATGAATGAATTGATGAGTGATGGGATTGAATAAATTTCAAATCTGTTACGAGATGCCTTAAAAGAATTATTATTATCCTATTGTCTTTTTCTCTCTCTACCTTTATGTTATTTAACATTTACTAGCTAATTTGCATAATTTATTAATGATAATTAATTCTCAATTGGTTGATGTTGAAATTTAGTTTTTTATAGGTATAACGTGTGTGTATGTATCCCTTTCTCTCTCTCTCTCTCTCTCCCTCTCTCTCTCTCTCTCTCTCTCTCTCTCTCTCTCTCTCTCTCTCTCTCTCTCTCTCTCTCTCTCTCTCTCTCTCTCTCTGTATGTCTGCGTGTGTGCGTGCGTACGTATGTGTGTGCTTGCGTGCGTGTGTGTAAGATATCTACAAGTGTTTCTAGTCAAGAGTTTACTGAGAATTTACGACGACGATGATGATGATGTTGTGGTGATGGTGATAGTGACGATGGGGGTGACGACGACGATGATGATGATGATGACGATCTTTGTGGGGATGGCGGTAATGATGATGATGATGATGACGACGATGATGATGATGATGACGATGATGATGATGACGACGATGATGATGATGATGACGATGATGATGATGATGACGACGATGATGATGATGACGACGATGATGATGATGATGACGACGATGATGATGATGATGACGATGATGATGATGATGATGACGACGATGATGATGATGACGACGATGATGATGATGACGACGATGATGATGACGACCTTTGTGGTGATGGCGGTAATGATGATGATGACGACGACTAAAGGATGAGTGGCATGCCAAACAAAAGTTATAACATTGACTGACATCGTTCAAAATAGACCGCCCAGCGTTCTTTACACAATTTCCTATATTATTTTAATTATAATTATAATATTATTATATATAATATAATAGTAGTAGTATTAGTAGAAGTAGTAGTGGTGGTGGTGGTGGTTTTAGTAGCAGCAGTAGTAGCGTGATGGTAGTAGTAGCAGCAGCAGATAATATAACGTAGATATCAACTACCATCAAGACCAGGAATAATAATAATAAGAAGAAAAATAATAACGAACATCCCACTTGACCATCAGCAATACAGGTAGCTTACTGGTTATATATATATATAATATGTATAATATATATATATAATACGAATACTATACATACAGGTAAAAATACTATATATGTATGTGTGTATCTGTCTGTGTTTGCCTGTGTACACACACATACACTTATATATATATGTATGTGTGTGTGTGTGTGTTTGTTTGTGTGTCTGTTTTTGTGTGTGTGTGCGTGTATGTGAGTGCGCATGTAGCAAAGTTATTTAATAGCGCATTAAAATGTTGACTTTATAACAAACCAGCCAGCCGAGCAACGCACAGAGGCAAGCTTATGAATTGAAGTGTTTGTTAGTAGATAATAACAGTATTCCTGTAACATAGTAATTCTGTAGCGGTTGTTGTTAGCTAAGTTAGTTGATATTTGGGTCGTATATGCAAACATTTTAAGCTGTTAAGATGCATTGTTATGTTTGTCTGTCTGTCTGTGTGTGTGCTTGTATGTGAGTGTGTGTTTTTATGTGAGTGTGTGTTTGTGTGTGTGTATAAATTATATAAATAAGGGCTCTATAGTGGTACTGTGGTTAATGTGATATAACGGTCCTTTATTATATTGCGATTTTCGTTTATATTTTATGATTCGCATGTGTTGGCTGGTTTGTACTGTTTCATACTATTTGATACTGTTTGAGTTCAGTTAAGTTTTTTAACTGTTTAATTAACTATTTTTTTTGATACAACAAATTTAACAGGTTATTAATATTGTTAGTGATATCAGATTTCTGCAAACAACATTGTGGACAACAACATCAGCTTTGTCGAATAAAGAACAGTGAAGAACTACACTGGACGATGTCGCCGAGATAAAATTTCGAAGATATATTAACTATTTTTAATTGGAAAGTCGATATTTTTCAAAAATATCTGCAACAACAGCTACTACTACAACTACCGCTGCTTCTACTACTATTATTAATATTAAAATTATATTAGAAAAACTAACAAGATGCGACGTTTCGATAGTAATTATTGATTATAACACCTCATCATCGCATTTTCGAAAAATTTTATATCTCAAGCAGTAGAAGCAACTTCTTCAGCCCCAACGACAAAGATTGATTTATAAATATAAAGATCGAGTCAAAGAACACATTAGGCTGAAGTTAAGGTGTGTCTATTTTTGCTGTTTTTGACCTGTTGATGTTAAGGTTGTTGTTGTTGTGGTCGATGTCGTTGTTGTTGTTACAGTTTAAAAATGTTTATTTCTACATATACAAACTGTGAACATGCATACAAAATGGGTGCAACCATTTTTTTAAGTACCTTAAATATATTTATAATTTTTATTAATTTATCTAACAATAATTTTTATCCTGATTCATTCGTTCGTCCGTCGTTCATTCGTTCGTCTCGTTCACTCGTTCATTTATTCACTCGTTCATTCGAACAAACATGACGACATGCATACAAAATTTTGGCATAATTTTAAATTAAACGCTTGTCGGTTTCCTTGAATAAATTACATTATTAAAGGGGCGAAACACTTTGATGGATGACGCTTCTCTCTCCCTCTCTCTTTCTCTCCCTCTCTCTCTTTCTCTTTCTCTTTTCTTTCTCTGTTTCCTTATAGATAATAATGTAAATAGCTTTCAGATATCTTCATAACAGCATCACATGCATGTACATAAAGGTATAAACACATACCACACGCACACACAGACGCACACTTAACGTAGACCAAACGTAAAAACTCACACACACACACATACATACACGCACACACACACACACTATGGACATGGCATGCACACGCCAGCCATACTGACATTAAATACAGAGTCAAATAAATTAATTCATTTTCATTGATCATCATTAAGAATTCACTTATTCATAGCATCCATCCAATCATTCATTCGTTCAATTACTTATTCGTCCATTCTTTCTATCTTTCATTTATTTATTCACCAATCCATTTCTTCATTCTTTCATTCATTCGTTCGTTCATTCATTCATTCATTTATTTTACTTGCAACTTAAACATACAATTTTGCATAAAAATTAATTATACGTGAATACGTATGTGTATGTTTGTATGTATACATTTTAACATACATAAATGTGTGTACGTATGTATGTATTTGTATATCTTTGTATGTGCGAGTTTTTAATGTTTGTATATAAGTTTATAAATGAATAAGCACGTTGTATGCAACCAAACACACACACACACACATGTTTTTCATTAACTCGATATTATGCAATCAAATGAATATGTTAATCAATTTACTGCCATGTACATTGTGTATGTATGTGTTTTGTGTCTATGTATGTGGGTGTTTGTGTGTGAGAGAATTTGTGTGTGTGTGTGTGTGTGTGTGTGTGTGTGTGTGTGTGTGTGTGTGTGCATTGGCTAAATAAATGTTTGTTGCAGACGATTCTAATTTGAAATTCGCAGGTTACTCGAGGTACATACATACGTTCGTTAGTTGCATTGTGTTAACAAACACAGTCGCATTTTTTCTGTTTTGTTAAATTTTTCATCCTTAAAATTAATTTAAACGTAACATGAAAAACAAAATAAACTGACGCTATTAACAACAAAAACAACAACAGCAGCAGAAGCGACGACAACAACGACAACGATGATGAATAAGAAGACGATGAAGCTTCAACAACAGCAGCAACAACAACAACAGCAACTATCACCTACAACAATCAACAACAAAAACAACATTCCCTCCTCTATCAATCCTTCAACCAAAAACAACAAGACGCTGAAACCCACACCGCCAACAATCATTATTGAACCAACAACAACAAAAGCAACAACATCATCAACACCTCGCAAACTTCGACTGGACGAACCAGCGACCATCACCGTTCGTATTTCCGGATTTCCAAAACCGGAAACACGCTGGCAGATCGGCCGGAAGAAGATCAAAAATTCTAACAAGTATCACGTGGCTGAATTTAGCGATGGAAGATGCGAGTTGGTGATTAGAAGGGTTGGGTGGAATTTGGAGGAGGGCGTATGGGTGGTGGCTGTGAATGAGGCAGGGGAGGATTGCGCCCTGGTTGAAGTGCAAGTAGTGGAGGATCGAGTAGCAGGTCAGTTGGCTGGTTAGTTGGTTGATTGGTTAACAGATTAATTGATTGATTGGTTGGAGGGTTGACGGATTGGTTGGTTTGTTGGTTGGTTTTTTGATTGGTTAGTTGAAATGTTGACTAATTGACTGATTGATCGGTTGGTTGTATGATCAATTGATTAATTGATTGATTGTGTTGTTGACATTTTCCACTAAATTATTTTTTCTATTAAAACGTTCATTCTTCATTATTCTAACTTAAACATTCATTTCTAATTTTCAATCAAGACAAGATCGTTTCAAAAGAGTCGCAGCAATCTCATGTAACGATGAAACAACAACAGCAGCCGCAACAGAATCGACCACAGCAAAAGCAGCCGCCCAAGCAGCTTCAGCAGCATGATCAAGATTTGCAATCAGAAAAACTTCAAAGATCAGTACGTTCAGAACAAATACAACAGTTACAACCTCAAAAACAACAACATTCGCGAGAAAAACAAACGCCACAGAAGCCGCAACACCTACTACCACAAAAACATCCTCAATGGGCGCAGCCACAGCGGCCACAACAGCCACAACAACCCACCACCAAGACAAAGCCAACATTTGGACTTCACGCAAAGAGAAACAAGAGTTTTACGCTAGAAGATAAGGATGACGATTCTTTCGAAACTTCTGAACCGCTAAACAAAACTTTGGGAACTATGGAAGCCTTTGCAAGATATGATACTACTACTACTTCTAGTAAAACTACTGCTACTAATAATAATAATAACAACAATAATAACAATACAAAAATTAGAAATGATTTCGTGATAGATAAGAACAAAACAACAACATCAACAACAACGAAACCTACAACAACAAAATTGCTATCGGCGGCATCGTCAACAAAAGCTTCAGCAACAACAACTACCACCACCACAACTGTTAAACCGTTTCTACCAGTGGCAGCAGCAAACAACATCAA